ATTACTTTGAAGGGAGTTTCTTATGTACTTATGTATTGCAAATGACCAGTCTCTGTAAATATATATACACACTATGCAGATTGTCTTGATATTTTTATTTAGTCGAAAGATTTTTATTGACGTCATTGGCTAACAATGGAATGCAAGACACGCGTTTCATCCTATTTCGGATTCGTTAGCTGTATGCACTTGCACCCCAGTGCACTGAAGTTTCAATATAGCACCTTTTGTTTTAAATGTGAACGCGTGATGTACCAAGCTATTGAATCCAAAAACGCTTGTTCAGGATATGATTGATAGACCCTATCCAATAAAAAGACATTATCTTGTTTTCCGGTTGCTTGTATATTGTTAAGAAATATTATTTATTTATTTATTTGCTTATTTATTTAAACACATAAGCATTGGTATAAGGAAGCACCAAATAAATATGCGCCATATAAATCATTCCATATGTGTAGGGGCTGCAATACTGCTCGGGTGCCCAAACCGAAGCAGGCATTTTTATTAAGGGGTCACACGCAGAGCTTTCGACCTAATGGTCTGATCTACAAGGCAGTGAGTGGAGCAACGTCAGGAGATGCAGTATCATGGTAGTCGATGACCAACAATTGGTTCATGCGCCATTTATTCCTTCAGGATACTGGAGACCATGTGCTCCCATGGTTTGGCATCAGTGTTTTCCAACTTCCTTGTGTGAACTCTCCGTGTCCATCAACCCGGTTAAATCATCGGACATTCGCTTTTCTTCCTCTCAATTTCGTAAACAGCACCACCGCAGTGTCGAGAAGGCATTGAGTAAGACTTTCGCTGACAGTGGTTGTATATGCGTGGCCATGTGAGAGGATTTGGATAGAGAGAGTTGAATCTCACCACTCTCGGCCATACCAGGGCATTTGGGGGATTGACGTTTAATTATACATTTTTCGTTGTGTGAAAGCTCGATCAGCACTAAATCAACATCTATAGATCAAATTAACAATGACAAGACATCAAATCTCTTAAACAATAAGTAGACCAAATAATTAAGCCTTAATTTTATAGGTTCGTGAAGAACTTCATTGATCAACGTCTAACATTCATTGACGTTTTAAATAAATTTTAATCATACTTATTTACTGTAAAAGATTTTGCATGTAATTATACAATTTCATAATATAAAATTACTCATAATATAGTGACAAGGTATTTTTATTGTTCAACTTTCGTTCAGGTAGAGCGTTTTGCCTCAATAGTTTGGATTTATAACTGGCCATCACTCAGTCATACCAATTGTTACAGATGAAGAGATCAATTATTTAGTTTCTTTCATTATAGCTTATAGACAGTTATTTTCTTTCAGACTGAATGTTCATTTTAATAAGAACTAATCATTATAATTCATGCAAGCGGTTCGTTTACAATATGCATAATCTCTTAAGTATATTTAAAAAAGTTTTGAGAACATCTATTAAAATCACTGCTTTTATGATTCCAAATGGAACTAGATAAAATGAAAACAAAACACTTTTATGCTTATTATTAGTTACCATAGTTTATGAAATTACGTACATGGGCAGTATCATCGATAAACAAGGAGAATCTGATGTAGATGTGAAAACGTGAATCGGCAAATCAATGGCAACATTCCTACAACTAAAGAACACATGGAACTCAAAACAACTGTCAGCCAACAACAAAGTCAGAATTTTCAATACAAACATCAAGAAAGTGTTGTTATACGGAGCTGAAACTTAAAGAACTACTACAACCATAATAAAAAATGTACATGTATTTACAAATTATGGTCTACACAAAATACTTCAGATGAGTTGGATGGATAATATCATCAACAACCTACTGTGATAGAGAACAAACCGAATTCCCATTGAAGAGGAAATTAGGAAAGAAATTTGGAAGTGGATAAGAGATACATTGTGAAAATAATCAAACTGCACTACGAGGTAAGCCATAACTTGTAATCGTGAAGGGAAACGGAAACGAGGAATGTCAAAACCTCACTGATTTGTGAATTGTAAGCAGGCATGAAAAGGATGAATAGTAGCTGGGAATAACTGTAAAGGATTGCTGAGGACAGAGTTGGATGAAGAATGTTGGTGGTTGGTTTATGTTTCTCCACGAGGGCTAACAGGTGTAAGTAAGTAATTAAGTAACATTGATAACACATGTAAAAAAAATCGTTATTGAAATTAACCCATATTTTCATCTTGTACTTTTTTGATAAATGTTTGTCATCACCAATTAGAATCATTAGTGTGTTCATTCTATCTCCATTATTGACTATTAAATTGAAAATTAAAAGATATGATAGATTAATATCATGAAATCATTGGATTTGGAAATATGAACTATAAGATTTTGACCTAGTGGTTCACAGATAACACATTTGTTATAAGGTCTGACAGTAATATCTGTAAGAATGGGAATCAGTCATTATCAACGTAGAATCTGGAAAATATGTCCATTGACCCGAGTCGCAACATCAATTTATCACAACAAGATGAAATTAAAAAGATAAGTAGCAGAGGATTTGAGATAATTTAGTACCAATGAGACTGGTTGAACACTAAGAATCTAGTTTAAAGTATCGAGTAAAAAAGTATGTATTAAAAATATTGGAACCTAATGTCTGGAGGAAGATTGGCAGTAAATGGATCCGCAACATTTTGACTGATTCTAAACCATACCGTACAGCATCACTAACTAGTAATGGTTATCCACGGACCAACAGTCATTGACTTTATGGACTGATGCCATGTTTTTGTTTGGTGACCACTAGATTTCTTTCAAATTTCTCCTAAACCATTTGACTTCACCTACTGAGGTAGGCAATGTTTAGAGACATGTATGACGTATCCCAACAACCTCACACTCATCAATTGATTTGTGATACATAATCAGTACTCTGTCCCTGATTTAAGCACTTATCACCCAGTCGTTCCAAGGGACACAAATAGTGTTTAGGAGAAAAGATGTAGGTGGACGTCCCAATATTCGTAAAAAGTAGCTGTTTAGTGCTGATATCTTTAAATGTTGCCTGATTAGTTAAAAACTTGGTTATTAATTGTACACCTGATCAAAATTATTTGATCAAATTTTAATCAAATGAAAAATTTACAACTCCTATTGATCTAAAAATTATTCACGTGAGATTGAAATAATGTTTTATAGGTTGAGTTGTTCATCTAATGAGAAGTTTATGCTAGTAATGTTAACCAGAAAGATAATGAAAACTTCATAATTAAACCACCGAAAACAGAGAATACAGGATCGACAGTATTTTAAACCATTAAAACTAAATTGTTCCCTGAATAAATAAAACCATACTATTGAATGAAACATTGAAACCATTTGATTTTTGTTGCTGAGTTTGCCTTACATATTATCTATATCTAATGTGTAAAAATGAAAGTTGGTGAAGACTAACAGGCTAGTTGTAACAAATATTTACTAATTGCAAAATATAAATTCTATGATTGTTGTTAAAAGTATTATTAATAATATGTTACAGTTTAACGGTGCTTTTCAACTCTCTAGTGAACAAGCAAACTTGAATTGTATTTCATGACTGGAATGGAAATGATTTCTTGATGATAAAGTTAATTCATATAATAATAACAAAGTTAATCAGTGATGAAGAAAATGAATGTATAGTAAATAAATTTACTCCCCCCTTTGCTTCACTAAGTTCAGAACTACCAGAAAACACAATACAAATAATCTCTAACAGTAAGTATCCTCGACTACTAAATATTAGATCCCTTTTAAAACTTTTTACATGGTAAAATATGCACATATATAATGCATTGAAAACCTTATTCTATTGAATTGTAGATTCGCTTAACACGCTTGTAATAATATTAATTGTTACTAATCTCTTGAATTGTTAGCTCATGTTTCTCTCTAACTGTTTACTCTTCAAAATTCTCTTATAGACACATTACTCCATATACTTATACCCACAATACATAATGTATTTATCTCTGATTAAATTAAACTGAAACCTAACAAAAACTGAATGTTCTACATGAATTCATTTTATTTGATAACCATAAAAAGCATAATTTAATTTTATTATACTCAATGAATTTACATACATATATTAACCTAATATAGTCTAGTTTATAGAAAGAATAATGATTATGTAATAATAATAATAATAATAATAATAATAATAATAATAATAATAATAGAAATAGAAATAATAATTTTTAAAAAATTAATGTCAAAGTTCATAAATATGAAATAATAGAAAAATAAATGAAAAGGAAATCATTAATTTGACATTTGTATATATCTGTACATTTAGATGAAATGAAGATTCAGTTTTGCTTTTGTTTTGTATGTGTGTGCGTGTGTCAAACAAAGGAATCATCATCAAATGAAAAAGCCAAGAAAAATAGAGACAGAGAGGGAATCAAGAAAGATGAACATCACCAGTTACACCAATGTTTATACAATAATTGCAGCAAATATTTAACCATAAAAAGAAAGGTAATAAATTAATTGTTACCATTATGAGAAATTGATTATGTTTAGTATAAATAAGAGAACAATGCCTAGTATGAAATGATAAGAAAGAAAAAACGAATAATAAGATTTAGCCGGTTAAAAGAGATAAATAAATAAGTAAACCTGACATATATATGAAGAGAGAGAGAGAGATAGATATATATGTAAATAGATAGATATACATCAGATTGTTTTGCTGAAGTTCTTCAAAGCTATTGCATAACATAAGCTTTTGTTTAGATCAACAAGGAAAGCACAAAAATGTGACGAAATCATACTAAAGAATTACATGACAAGATGTAGCACAGTATCATTGTGTTGCATACATACAGATGAATATATATGAAGAACCAATAATTATATTATGTCAAACTGTTAAATTACAAATTCTTTATGAAAAACTTTAGTTTATTGTTTCGTGGAGCTTAGTATAAAACACTAAAGATCCTTTCTTTCAAGTCATATAAATAATAATAATAATAATAATAATAATAATAATAATAATAATAATACAATTTTTACTCTCTTGTTGTATTCTTAATAAGTTCAGAGCACCATCCATTTATTGATGGAAAAATCAATCCTACAAAAATCGTGTATCTTTTTCATTGATAAATGCTAAGGATAAATATGAATATCAAGAAATTGGATAAGTCAAATTACCGAAATCAATACTGGAATTTACTAAATTTCACCTATTAAAATTGCAGGATATAAATTGTCAATCTGTAAATATCAACACATAGTTCACAATATACATAGAATGAGAGTTTTAACAATAAAGATCAAAGGCTGTCAAATGTCAGTAAATTAAAGATGACAATTAGGAATTAAATGTTACTTATAAATAAAAATACTGAATAAAATAGTAAGAAATAAATTAGATACATAAATATAAATATATGCGCATAAATCTGTATCACAGGTCAAAACTATCACTTCGTACTGTTCTGGTAGAACTGTTCGATCGAGAAATACATGAGCCAGCACAATTGTATGATGGTTCAAATTGTAAATAGCTAATAATTCTACGTGGAAGATCTAACTGTTCAAGGTATTCATCTTTGCAGAGCTAAAAAAATAAAAGAAATACTACATTCACATGCACACCAATATATCATGATTGAAACTGAAAGCAATGAAACTCTCGGCTGCACAAAAGTCCAATAAGCTGACAGGAAAGTAATATTTCTGAACCTATTCATCAGATGAAAATTCATTGGGAATTAGTTAACATTTTTCGTCACATAACAAGTAAATGTTTGTGCATACGAAGTTAGTATAACTATCCGACTGCTCACATTGAAGCATGTGAAGCGAAGCTAAAACTTGCTTCCAACGAGTTGGAAAACTGATACCTCAAAAACACTAAGCTCTACGAATAGTATCACATATTAGACCAAAAAATTGAAATGAAAAGTGAAATGTAAAATTAATGTCAGTAAATCATAACTGTTAACAATTGAAAACAGATGTATTGACGCCATGGATCCTGTTGTCTAAGCAAATTCCTAGTTCTTTTTAACTCTAATAAACAGTGTAATTTTGAACCTCTGCTCAACTAATTCAGTTTCAGCATTTAAGTAGTATTGTTGACCGCTGCAAAAAGTGTAATTTAAAATTGAATATACGAGTCCATGTTTAATAAAGAGATAGCAACGATTCTCATTTACAACTACTACTATAAAAGATATCATGACAGACAGATTTGCATTAATCCATTCTCTTCATAAATTTATATTTAATAAATCAACAACAAAAAAAACACTCAATTTATTATGGAACTTTAATTATTATTTATCAATACCTTATACATAATTGTTACGCATTGATTTTGAAGTTGGATATCCCCCATGGGATGTAATTGGAGAATTTACTTACAAATGTTACTTTGATTCTCGGTACCTCAACCCCAACGTCTCCAACCACTAGTCACATTTATTGCGAGGATCTCAAGGAACAATTCTGTACCTACCAACATAGCATTCACAATATAACTAAACGTGTTGGTTTGGTTGACCTTAGCTTTCACTTTCCTACTCTTACTCCAATATTCCGAGTCAAGGTAGGCACTGACTTGGCATACATATCTCGATCACTTCAGCCGATGAAGATTAGCATTCTTACCAACTGATTCGGTATCTTTGCCAAATACCCTGAATCTAACTGCAACATTCCTCACTGGACTCTAATATACGCGCGTAATGACTCAAAGACAATAATGATCAAATAGTAATAGCTCATGAATGCCCTTTATATTTAAAGATCATGTTTCTGACATAAATTAAAACAAAACAGACAACTGTGCAGTATACCGACCCCTTCGTTGGTGGATGGATATCTCGCCTACATTACAGTGACCCATATTGATGACTTTTCCAAATCCCTGCCGACATTTCATGAGACCTCAGGTCACTAAAGTTAGTGAGGTCCTTACAAGATAAGTAGAATGATTAAGACTTCCAATTATTTTAATCCCAAATATTAGTCTAGACATTAAGGTAGATCAGTCATACACCAGCATTTCGCATTAGGAATTATAGTCAGTTCGTTTATTCACTTATAAACTATTAACAGCTAAATAAGCATTTTCCTATATATCCACTTCATATGATAAATATTCACTCGACACGGTACTAAGCATGGTTATAATATTCAGGATAATTTGTGTTTGAACTCAAACGGATATAGTGAACTAGACATGACAAAAAAGATCTGAAGTATTTCCTTACTTGACGAATTCGTTGTCTCACTAATGCCTGTAGTTTTGGTGGCGGAGGTAGTTGATAAACCAGAAGCACATCAATTTGTACCGTTGAATTTACCACTGAAGTACCAGCAGAAGTAACAACAACACCACTACTATTACTGGTACGTGTGGATACTGTGGCAGTACAACTACTTGAGGAATTACACTGAGTTCCAATAAAAGAAGATTCAAAGGAAACAGCCATTGGACGATAGGAAGAAACGCTTAACTCTAAACTTGAACAACCAGTCATTTGTCGAAACGGTGAACTTCCGGAAGACAAGTGAACTTTTGACAATGGAGATGGTAATGATGTAGATAGATGATGACTCAAATTAAGGTTTCTTGGTTGAATAAGCAAACAGGTTGGAGATATAAACGGTTGTTGCTTCTTGAATTCAGTCTAAAATAACACAAAAAGACGGGTTTCTATGGGAGTATTAAAGTAGTTATGTAAAAAAAGTTTAAATATAATGTCTTGAAAATACGACAATAACTTTTATATGCATATTAATACCTCGATACCACAACTGCTTTCCGTTCTAGCCCCAATTACTGCAAAAGAAAATCCTTCAAGCAAGATTTATCGATAGAGATCAAAGAAGATTGGTTTAAGCAAATAATACATGTGTATAAATGAGCCTACAAATACATCGGAGAAAGGGTAAAGATTTAACACACTGAAAGACTCAAGGACAGAAGAAAACAGTTCAATTTGGTCATGTTAGACAATAAAGGATGGAGAGAAAAGGAATATTGAAACTTAAAAAGTAGCAAAATAAGTAGTTACTAACTTGTTCCCTGGGGTATAAAATAACCCAACAAAGTAATATTTCCCTAGACAGAATAACCGAGAACAGTTAAAATAGAAGTCAGTCAGTTATCTACCTCTCAACTATAAGTTTCAATCCAGAATAAAATTAATTCATTCTCTAATTAAATCAATACCAATTATTAGAAACAATCTTTATTCTTTCATACTGAATTATTCTGCAATACTACAACTAGCAAAGATAACAATAATGCTCAATAAACAAATGTAGTTCAATTTTATTCTTGGAAATCACGTAAATAAAATCTAATTTATTGTGGATATGTTTATCAAGTTAACAACTACAAGAAACCACCAAGAATATTTCGTACATTCTTTTTTAATCAATTTAAGAAGAATAAAAGCACAAACTTGAGCAGTGGAATAACACGAACTCATTTTACTTCATTTCGCTTCCTATTTAACTTACAACCTGAAATTACAATTTTAAATAAGGTCTATCATATTTATAGAAATTAAGTTGGTTGAAATTTGATGTAATAACATATCAGTATGGTACAATAAGTATTCTAATAGAGTTGAAAAGGACGAGTGAAATGTTACAACTATTCTAGAACTCCGATCATGCTAATAGTAAAAGACTGTCAGGCTAAAACTAAGTAATTATGTAGTTGCGCAATGGAACACATAATAACGATAAATGAGAATGGTATGAATTATATTTAATCATACATATAATCCGAAAAAAATAAATGAGATGAAAGAATAAAAACCCAAGAAGATAGGGCACGCGTGCTACTTTTTCCCTGTCATTACTTATGAGCTATGTCATTCATCATCTACAGTCATTAATCATGAGTATTGCCTGAGGCCTAAGTAGGAACTCTCTATGTGGATGAACTAGTGTTAGGGCTAATCACTTCTACCTGGGTGCACAGAAGAACAAGATGAACCGGTGTGGAAGATGCTTACCACAGTATGTTTTTACATGAAAACTAGTTTAATTATACAACAAATAACGCAGGTAGAAAGTCCGTTATCAGTCATCCAAGAAATTTAAAACGGTTTACAGATGAGTCTAGATATTTTACAATTCATTGCAATACTAAACTAAAAATAAACTAATATTCAAGCAAATTAATAAAAATCAACCACTATAGAAAATTTTTGGGCTTAAAGTATGGACTAATAAAGTAGACAGATAAATGCAAACAGTTTTTAAAAATTATACTTTAGAAATACAAAGAAATCATTTTACACATAGATCTTATGTCACTACAAAGTAGTTACACTTCGCATAGAATACTGCAGTTGTAAGACTCAGATGATAAATGTATCTACTTCTTAGTGAAAATGTGAAAATAACAACAATAGTAACGAAACAATAATAGTTGACTTACGCGTTTTGTAGAATTTTCTTTGCTGGTTTCTTGACCAGCACTTTTGTTAATCACGCATTGTGAATTAGAACAGCCTTCTACACTTATAGATGGAACGGAGTGCCTTAAAGATACAGGAAGCGTCTTACAGCTGGAAAACAGGTATTCACGTGAATTATTACTGGCGTTCTGATTACTAGTACTATTATAATATCCCACTGCTTGTCGTGTAATTAAAGCTATCCTTGATCCACAACGGCTCATTACGGGTAGGTAATTGGTAGGACATGTGTGAATTGGGCATACTGATCGATCAAATCTCAAAATTCTTAGCCTTTCTAATGTATCAGAATTGAAAATAGTAAGCCACAAAGTGGTGCAACCAGGCAGTGTGGGAGCCAACATTGGAGATGTACTATTATTTTTTGGATTGTAACGTGTATTTGATTCAATACACTGTGTTGAAACCAAGTTCTTTTGCTGAGTTCGACCACTTTCAGTTCCGTTGTTTGTTGGTCGGCCTGAACTTAAGGGGTTGCAAATATCATCTGAGTAACCAGATACATCTGGTAATAAAGAATTCACAGAATGGTTAATATTACCAATGGCAGAGCATCGACAGGTTCGAGACTCTGTGGTGATTGTAAATAAAAAATAGCCATCTCTTGAATAAAATATGCTCATAATATGTGGAAAAACATGACTGAATGAGTTCGGACTGGGTAAACCACCTACATGGTTAGCATCTGATGATCGTCTTCGTCTTGTCGGTTCTCTACACGTAGTATTGTTTATAAAAGGTGAACCGTGACGATTTGAAGGAGACCAAGAACAAAGTTTGTTAGTGGATGTTAAGCACTCCCATGTTGGAAGTTTTACCAAACTTATAGTAGCCTGTATTCCTGGGACCCAGTTGGAAGAAACTTTGTGAGAGTTTGGTCCATGTGGAAAGTCCACGTTAGTTATTGCTATGCGTGAATTTACAAATCGTGGATCAAAAGCAAACAACACCTGAGAAGAACGAGCTGGACCTAGTTGAAGTTGATTCTCATTTTGTACATTCCCTCTAAAGTTTGCAGTTACTGAGTTGGATGTTGATAAAATATCGTACGACGGCCGAATATTTGACTCTCTATTATTTTCCTGATATGGGCCTAGTGGCAGACGGAAATTGTTTAATGGCACTTCATCGTAATTAGAAGAATTAGCTAATGGAAGTTCAGAAATAAGTTCACTATTTCGTAAGTTGTACAGCTGGAACGACAATGAAAAAATACATCAAAAACAAAGTAAATAATCATAGTATTATTATTTTCACATTACAACGAATTTCAGCTAATTAAGTTAGATTACTCAGAAAGATAGTGGATGACATTTAACATTTAAAAATGTATAAAGACCCAAATTTTCATGAAACAACACAGGGAGGATAAATCAACAGATGAAATAGAGCATTGAAAGTGAAAAGTGTCTTCCAAACAAGTACCAAATACCTAGTTGTAGGAAAAAAGGCTGTTTTTAGATAGCATTTGCACGCTGAGTCAAACAGACGTTCAACGTAATGTATCATTCAATCATCTCATATTTACTTCATAAACTGGTCTACCATTCTTAATAAAGACTATGCTTAAAATCAGTGTTTACTAATCTTTGTTCTCTGTGTAGATATAATTCATCTGTCTGAGTGAATCATTTGATCTCATCTTTTTCATATAAAACTATTAGATTATTACTTATGATTTATCCCATCGTTAGTAAATAATGATAATCATCTAAATACAGAGCACAAACTGTGTTATAATACGACGAAACTCTTCAGTTTTTCTCATCAAAATATTTACAAAGCCAACTAGTTTTTTATACTGTAGTGCCTCATGTGTTTTAAAAGAAAATAATTGGGTGAAAACAATGAAAATCATCTTAGAAATTCAAAAGTCTTAAAATACCTTTAAGCCAAAAATCAAACTTTTAACAAACGCATAATACCAGATGAATATTTTACTAATGAACCATATAAAAAACCCTTTATTTTGATTTAGTTTTATGTGAACAGCTGAATTTTTTAGCGCATTCTCAAACTACATGAAATAAAGCCAATATTTATAAAACAATTGCAGATAGCAAACAGCTCTTCTAACATGAAATTCTTCTTAAACTTCATGAGACCCAACGTATTTAGATAAGGTGATACCAGAGATAAACTTTATATAAGTCTTAATAAATAGTTCATTCTTAAATTACTATAAAAAGAGAACAGTGGCTGACTTGTACGAAAACTTTAACAGCCTAAACTCTGAAAAGAAAAATATGGAGCACAACTGAGTTACTTTACTATAAAACAGCTAAACCATGAATATATGTTGCACTTAATATAAGTTCCTCCCAATATTCAAACGGAACTCAAATACCAGTGTCATTAAATCAGCTACTAAACCCACACCTAATCATAATCTTCTTATTTTAAAGGGTTGGATATTCTCTATTTATTTCAGAAACTACTTGACAGAACGGTAATTATTAAATGAAACTTAAAAATATGTTGGAATAAACGGGACTTACCAGCTATTATGCTTCGGTAAGTAAACGGTGAATGACGAATCATGAAAAATAATGATTCCCACGTTTTTTTAAAAACAAATACAAGGAAGAATGATAAACAATAGTTACACATCTGAATAGATGAGTGTCACTATATGTAAACCATTCATTTAGCACTTAAGTCATCTACAAAGGTGAAATTCCCAAATAAAATTCCATTATAGAAGTCTCCATTGAGAAGGCATTCAAAAACCGTCATTGGATGTTTGTTTTAAGCATGGATAAATGTTTTTCTACTACCACAAAATGATTTTGAAGGGACTAATAATCTTAATCTTTTATAGTACCATCTGTTCCAAATCCTAAGCGTGTACACATGATTTGTTACTTAGTCAAAAAATTAAAAAGATTAGCACGCAGAAACTATAAGTGATCATTGTTACATGTATAGACCACACATGTAAAAGCCATGTTAGACATGTAAGACAATAACATTCCAAGAGTGCTTAAGATGTGTTAACATATATAGAATTGTAAAACATTACCATTCCTAACGTTACATTTAACTTTTAATTTACTATTTTTGAGTTTGACTGACCAGTAACTGATCGTTTCTTGATTACTAAGAAACTATTTACATCACTATGCATGTCATTCGTCAGCTATGCAACTATTCTACATTCCCTAATAAATAACAAATTCGGGTGACAATAGTAGGATGAATGTTCTAAGTATTAAATAGTATACAGAAGTGAATATTGTAATGAAACAACCGGAGGGTAATATGGATAACTGTGAAATTTTAAATTTAAACTTTTACGTACTTAACCTAAGTAGTGTCCCGAAAACAAATTTAGTTTAAACATACGCATGTAGTAGTCATCATAGCAAAACTAGTAATCAAATCACTAGAAAGTATCCATGTTTATGGTAATATTGCCAGATAGAAGACAAACTTAGGTTAATCAGAAGAACCTGTTTATTTTTTGATTGGCACTTAAATGTTCACCAAGCATCCTATACGATCGTCAGTGTTTGCAAGTTTCGAGTTTATGCACTTAACAGATGGTATTATTAGTAAGCTGTTTAAACCTTGACTATACGTCTATATGTATGAGTAACATAACGACAATCAACCGTCAAGCTTCAATTATTTTTAAATTCAACATAATACGATATCATTTATCTGGAGCCTGAGTTTGAGGTGACAGTTATTCCACTTGAAAATATTGATTTAAATAAATCCTCACCCCTCATCAAGAATATACACATATATTTGTCAAAATATGTAAAGAAAATACTGACATACAAAAATGAAAAGCCATTAGAACTGTCCGTAGAATATAACGTGAAAATAACTGCAGCACAAATCTTCTACAATCAAAGTAACTGATTACATACCTTGAGTATATAAACTCTCCTATTTCTCGACCAAGGGAGTCTAATTAGACAATAAGTTCCATCGGGTGATATTTTTCCTATGGTTGATTCAGGACTAAAGAGAACCGTTTGCCGACCAAAAGAACCAAGGAATTTATTAATCCTTAAGTCAACTAATGCAAACTGAGTTATCATATCTCGTGCCAAATGAACAACTGCCAATCCACTGTGAATGTCTAACACCGATTTGAAGTGTAAATTCTAAAAGTAGTTCTTAACTAAAATTCAAGTACCTGTATGGAAGATAAATGAGCAGGTATGTGATTATACTCGAAATGTTCAGCCATTTTTGTATATTCTCTTCGCTTTCTCAGTGAGAAAACAGAACACGATTTTCGAAAATTCACAATATTTTGCCTAGTGAGACAAAATGCCGATGTGCAATCATGAGGCAGTTGATAGGTACACACCATCACCTTGTCTGAGAAGTTGAAAAGTTCTAAACATGCCTTATGAGTAAAATATATATCACGTTACCCCGGTGAGATTTTTTCCATAACTCCAGAGTGCATTGGTGAATTATTCTTCCAGGTGAAACAGGCGCAAAAAAACACAAATTTGGTGTGTTACAGTTAGCTTTGTTTGTTTGACCAATTTTGCTTTCCTCAAGACCCATCACGAGTGATAGCTCATGATCTACGTGAAATAGAGCGCGGACAATTCAGACAAAACGGTATACTAATGACCTTACAAAGCAGTTGGTATAATACGACTTTCAATTTCCAATAAAAGTTTACTGAGCTGACAAAGTGTTAAACAATTTTTAACTCAAATTTTAAATTTTTTAAACCATGTTGTTTTGTTTAAGCAATAAAGTGGATCATAAATATGCTGTTTAACATATTCGTTTTATAATAGATGATACGATATTTTGCTTCCTAATCTTCATTCTAGCTCAAAATATATCCAGTCTTACTTGCGGCATACTTTCCAAGTCACAAGTGATAATCACTTCCTTGTTCCCAAGCTACATATATAATAGTTTGACATGGACATTAATTCATTTGGTCTGGTCAAATTAAATCAAACTAAGAATCTCTTCCAATAACGAATAGATCGGTCTGGTTTCTTTCAAACCATTAGCACTCCAGCAATTCAGCGACGAAGACCTGTTCTCCAATCTTTAGTGTATCACACCTGGAAGCTAGAGACTGTTCCAACCAGTCGAACCTTCGCTTATATTCTCCTGGTCCAGAAAAACTAAGTCTCCTTCTAGAAGCTATAAGTATCGGGGTGGATTTCGACCTTGAAATGCAACAACAGATTCATGGAATATATGCTCGATATCCGTTGTGAGATCTATTGGTTGTCAGTGTACCATAACAAAGCAAAATTCTGAGCTCCATGTAGAATTGATTTAGTGGGGTGACCTGAACTGTTCAGTACATCACAAGATGGCAAAAATCGTTCGAATTGTTCAGAACATCTCATAAGTCAGTAAAGTTATCCATTGTTGAAAGAAGTGAGGTGTGACGCAATCCTTAGTTGTGTATTTATAGCGTCATTGTTTTATGTCAACAAGATTCCTAGGCTGCATTTCGTTAGAAAGTCTCGATTTGATGCTTGGTTGATATTTCAGTGACTAACGTTCTAGTTAATGAGCTTATTGCCACCCACACAATTTGAATCATGATGGATCAAATGTCAATGAGTGTTTTATCATTACGAGATGCTCATCTGGCACATCCTCTCCTTCTGACACTGCCTGCTGTAGCAGTCATCGGTCAAACCTAGAAAAACTGAGGATCACCATCACTATCAACGCCAAATATCTCCAATGCTCACACATAGAAGGTTCTATTCCCCAGATTATTAGAATTAAGAGATGGGGAAAAGACAAACGAGTACTTGGCAATAAGAACAACTCAGATAATAAAAGAGTTGTTAGATCGGGGGATGAGGCGAAAAATACAGACTTCAGGTTGATCAGCCTTACTCTTTTCAGTATTCGAGTACAAAGTCACTGGCTATTGGAACAGTAGTGAGAAGAGTATTGCAGTATGTCAGAATTTGACATCACATACATTAAATTGTGTTGCTTAAGTAAGGAATCAATGACTTTGATATGGGAACATAGAGTATGATTCTGTCAGCATAACATAGGTAGCTCAGAAGAAAGAATAGACTCGTGGTTAGGGAACTTTAAGGACACAACACCTACTCATACAGGGCTTGAAAATCTACTACAGTTGGGTTGTCTTGTTTTAAGATGAAGTCAGTAAATGCTAATAGAAGGAATATGCAGCTTCCTTACAGGCAAAATAGAACAGAGAACAGCTTGTCTGATTTACTTGTACGTTGGGATGTTCAAAGTATGAATAATTACTCACATCCACGATCTTCATTCAACAATTACTGAATCATCACAGTACTGAGGATGACTTTCAAAAAGGCTGTTCGACAAACAACTTAGAGAGGTAATCAAAGCACTAGAATGCTTGCGGATAGGGTCTAACACACGTTAAGACAACTGTGGGAAGCAATAACGGCAGGGAATTCTACCCGCGCATAACCAAATCATTTTCTAGATTACTCATGTTCAAACACCCCTGGACAGCAGATTCAACTACGTATTCGATCGAACACACTGTTGTATTATCAGGCACGTCGCATTCCATTTCATAACAGTGAATAATATAGCTACGTGAGGAACTTCCCTCCACATGTCGATAAACAATGAGAAACCGTGAAGCGAAGTATTATGAATGCCACCTAGGGCGATTTCGCTGTTATAACATTCAGATCAGGTAAAGGAAGCCCATTACAGAAAAACTACACCAAGTGTATGGTTCATGCAAGAAGATAAGGACGGAACAGACGAAGAATTATAACAAGATTTTTTCAACCATAATCCGTAATTCAGCATGCGATATTTGAACAATCTGCTGTGACCATAAAATGCCGGTTCATGTAATGTTCCTTGGTTTCGCATAAGCCTTTGACACAATACTTCATGTACTTCTCATAGCAAAGTTTGGAGAGATGGGATAAACTAGTCCATTTTTATTCTGGCTCCCTAACTACCTAGACAACAGGATGTTTTGTGCCAAGGTAAATAGAGTGCTGCAGGGTCTCATCATAAGGAAATAATCTTATGACCACTTATTTTCCTGGACCTTGTTGATGACCTTTTAGATATAATTGGGCCGGTGGCACTACAGCATGCAAATAATGAGACAATCTGAAGGTTCATAAAATGTGAATAGGATTCATTTGATCTCGAAAAGAACCTTATAACAATCGAGGAATGGACAGTAGACAACGGGTTAAAACTTGACTTGTTGAAATTTCATGTCCTGAACATTCTGCCTCGTTTGACACAAAGTACTTAAACTCCCCATAGGAATTCACCCTCGATTATCTCCTCAGAGATTGATCTCGGGCTTGTAACCGCAAACAGAATATATACCAGTTCAAGATTACACGGAAGATCTAGCCAAGGCAAACGAAACTCTTCACTTCATGTGCAGACAGCTTGGAGCAACCAATTCAGAGTTGTTCCTAACACTCTTCAAAACTCACACATCGCCTCTTCTTGAAGTCCACAGCGTTGTTGTGCCTTCTCTTTTCAAAACGGATATAAATTTCACCAACTACACACCGAAACGAGTAATCAAGTGAGTTATAGGGCTTAATCCTAAATCTTACGTGGATAGACTTCAGCATCTGAGATTATCCTCACCGAGCTATAGTAGAATAAGGGATGATCTGGTGATGGCATACAGCACATCAAATATACAAATCTCACGAGCATATTGCCAGAACTTTGTCGTTGCGCTCCTTGAGGCCACCCTCGAAAGACTGCAAATCAAAAAGCCAACACCCAGGTACGCTCTCACACTCTCTCACTGCGCGTTGCTTCCATTTGAGATGCTATGCTAGCCGAGGTGACCAAGGAGCCCTCAATGGATAGCTTTAAGAGATTTCACAGACACAAGCATACCCATGGATTACCATCCTCCTTTTGGGTAAGCTGTGTTTGATTCATGTCTGATTAATTATCACAGTTATCATTGCCGCAATCAGTAAACACTTCCAATCTCTCTTATTATCATCTCCGTTTCCCCTCTTATTCTTTGGATTCCGTCTATTACATATTACAAATTAATACAATTATCTACTTGTTCCTGAGACAATCATTTCTTAGCATTTGAATTATCTCTTTATCATCTCCAAATTGTAACCAATCAACTTCCTCTCTGGTAATGTGATAGATAATGGTACTTAGAAATCCCACTGCCCTTGGATAATTGGACTCATTCAACTACATGACATGCAAATCCAAAAATAATTACTAAAGCAGATAGAATTAGGGCCAGACTACCACACATTCGACACGACCAAGTACTGTGCCGAAACCGTAGCAAAACAACAAGAAGAAAGTGCGAAGAAATCAGTAGGTTGATACAAGCTCGTAACAAAGATTTTGGATATTGTGCCTTGATTTAGCGAATGTGAGAACATCACGCTGAGCAATGTTGCAAAATTGAATCCGCTTTCCTCAGTAAAGTAGAACGGACCATACTCGGTTAGTGAAGAGTGTTCTTGTTTAGGTGCTGCGGTTTCCGATACAAGCACATTTCACCTGTCAGGGTATGGCCTATTTCGCTATATTGTGGGAAGCCGTTTCAATCCAGGCAACACAATTACCAAGCCGAGGCACATCACCAGAAAACTGGAAGTTGGCTCACATTATAATGATTTTCAAAGTAGGTCAACGAAGCGGACCTTGAGGCTACAGGCCGATAGCACTTCTCTCAATAACCTCAGAAATTATGATGTCTCTGATGTTCAACGATCTGCATGACTATTTGCCATCTATAAACGTCTTTACAACACAGCAGCATGGCTTCAGGAAGGGTTTCTCTTGTATAAATTACCTGCTGACCGCTGTGGACAGATGGACAACTATGCTTGATCACAAGAGGAAGGCTACTGTTTTATAATGTAATTTCTCAAAAGCTTTTGATGAGGCCCATCATGTAACGACCGAACTGCCAGTATTCGGTTGGAACGCAGGACTGATGAACCGAAATTTATTCTGTATAGCGTACCAAGAGTTTTTGAGATACTCGTATTAAATTACATCAAAACCCAAACTCTGTGCTCAATTTGAAAGGTTCTAATTTAGGAAATAGAACAAATTATATCAAAAATACAAAATACCCCAAACGGTACAGCTGGTACTATACAGTCAACAGTTTCTCAATCGCAAAGTAGCGCGCCAAACAATAAAAGAAATAGTTAATACCAAAGGGTTCGATACCTGAGATTCAATAAAAATGTTCCCAACAAGATTGGATCAAATATCTACCTGCAGGGATTCCAGCAATCATCTCAAGCAGACGGTCAAAGGTTAACGCCGTCGCAATAAACCATGCCGTGACCTTGAGATTAGTCAAACGCGACCCTACTGTCAATAGTCCGGCAACATGCAATAGAAAATTGGGCAATAAAAGATAAATTTTTAATCCAAATCACATGATAAAGGCTCGTAGGAGGAAGACTAAAGAACAAAGGGTGTGGTTAAATGAGATCTGAACAAAGGTTAAAATACACGAGAGGGAGAAGAAACAAATAAATGACAGTACTGTTCAACAAAAAAGCTGCGGAGGGATTTTCATCGTTCTCTTCCCGTTACACATCATATATACCTCATCAAATGGCTAGGTATCAAGTTATAG